GGGAGGGGGAAACTATGGCCTTTTTTGGGGGGCGCGGTGGGGTGATTGCTGATGAACGGCCAGCCCAACCCTTGACAGGTTTCAGAAGTCCCCACACATCAGACATGGCCTTTGTGCAACATAACCGCCTCAACCAAGCTTGTGCTTGGCAAAAGAAAGCGCCCGGCATCCTCTACTCGAATAGGGAGCCCCAGGCTAAGATCCGCACCTGCTTCAACGACCGCGACCGTGACAGCGACAGCAAAAACGAAGACGACCACGAGCGCGACCACGACCTACTACGACTACGACGACGATATATATCAAACCTTTTGCGGGAGTGGCTATAACAGGAATAGTAGGAATCGCCAGAAATCATGATGATGGTGATGGTGATGATGATAATGATGATGATGATGATGATGATGATGATGCAAATGTCTGCCACAAGTGCTGGGCGGTGCCAGCTGCCTGAGTGAGATCACTGTTGACTGGCGACGTAGCTACTGCAGCCTCTTAGTGTTATTGACATCCATCACTTTTCGTATTTAACGTATCGGCGATAACAAGTTATCCCGATGAACGCGCTGGACCCACGGGTCGGCATTCCCACGCCGAAGGTGTCGGATTTTAGCTCCTGACTGAGCGGACGTAACACGGCCCTCGCGGCCGTGGCGAGTAGAGAGAGAGAGAGAGAGAGAGATGATGCAAATGCAACGAAGTTGTGCAAGTTCGAGTCAGTATTTACAACCGCCATGATCATCGTCACCATTTCCATAGTCTCAGTAGTTGTAAGGACAGCAGAATCCCTTGCCGCTCTGGAGGAAGGGCGCGAAGAAGAGGCAGCAAAGCCAACCCCACAATCACAAGGCACCTGCAGTGGGCTGCAGCTCTCATAGAAGTACGTAGTACGCGCATCGGGTGCTGAGGCTGAGGGGTATCCGGGTCAGGGCTTTGGGTTTTGGGCTGCGGTGTTTCTCTCTCTCTCTCTCTGTGTGTGTGTGTGTCAAAGATATGGGTATTTCAGACACGGAAACCCACCCAAAGCTGCGGATCCCAACACGCTCAAATCACGAAATCCTTACAATAAAGGCGCCTTGACATTTGGACTAGGGTTTTGGGTTGAGTATTCACGTATACGTTCAGTTTAATGAGGAAACGATTTATCCTTCATACTATAGCAGGGAACCCTAGCAACAAGTTGGGCGAAACACGTCAACGATCGTAAACTTATGTAAACGTTGAGTCCTGGGGATTTTCCTTGAGGTTCCAGATCCGCACACTCCACCCCTGGCCCCAAGCTTGTTTCGTCGATGCTAAGCGGCAGTCGACGCTCTCACCCAAAAACCAAAGTCCCCCCTCAAACCCCACTAAGCTCTAAAACTCTGTAAGCTACAAGTCCGAAAGCCAGAATGCTTATCTAAACCCTAAACCCTAAACCCTAAACCCTAAACCCTAAACCCTATAGATGCTTGTGCAGTGTGCGCCAGGCCTCGAAAAAACGGCGCACCGCTTGAGGCGGCACTGATCTCGGCACAGCGTGGCGAAGTGTTAGCCACATAATGCCGTACTGTATGTCTGAATGCATGGATGTGTATGCATGCTATTTTTTTGCATGTATGCATGCACGCCAGTGTAGTAGACTATATGCTGCTTGATAGGGGTATACGCTTGCAATTCAGCAGCAGAGACTCCAAACTTCTGCTGTCGCGTGAGACCCGGTTTCTCGAAGCTAGTCGGTCCGATGCTGCGCTCCGCAGGTGTCATTGCATTGGCTGAGTGGTTGTAGTGCAGCTTCACATTAACACCCCTATGGTAACCCTGGTTTTTGCGGTTTCAGGGTCCCAAACCAAACCTTGAAGCCCGAAACCCTAGTTGGATTTGAACAAGCTGCTGAGGTGGAGCTGGCGGCCTGTGCGGAGAGTTGAAAAGTGCTGAGCATTCTTCCGCTGTCGCTTGTCGCCCTAGGGTTTGGGGCTCAGGGACCCGGAGCTTTCAGGCCTCTGCGTGTAGGACCTCCAGCATGATTTAGAAGAGGGTTCTTCAGGCGCTACCTGCTTCTCTCCCCCCCCCTCCCAAGGCCCTCAGCTCCAAGCTCGAAGGCCCAAAGAAAGGCCCCCGAAGCCAAAGTCAGCAGCGCAGGATGTCAGGAGACTTCAAGCGACTTCAAGCCTACTTTCTGCATGACTAAAAGTGCCTTCCAATACAGGACTAGCTGAACTCGCAGTACTCCGGCGACTCCCAAGTTCCCCTTTGGCCAAGTGTTGAGGGAGAGTCGAAGAAAGCGGCTTCTGAAAGCGAAGCCTCGGCACCTCGTCTTGGGCGTTTTCATTCGGCATCCTGCTTTCACCCGCCAGCGCAGTTGGGCTCCAGAGGGATGTTTTCGTGGGTATCCTGTGGGGCGCCCTGCGCAAGTTTTTTGATGAGTACCTGCTCAGGCAAAGGAGGTGTTACGAGTTTTTGTGTCTTGCGATGGGTTGCACCGCGTTCAGTACGCTGCTTGGGACCGAACTCCGTCACTTCACAACAGCCAGCATGACGACAGTTGCAATCGAAATAGCGGACATGGCATCATGTCAAACAACAGCCGATGGTCAGGTAGAGCCTAGTGAGCAAACAGTTGCGCGGTGGCATGCGGTGTGCAGGGTCCCCACATCCTGCGAGGATGAGCAGACAATCGATATGAACATCATCGTATCTTAACTCTCGGGTGTGCCTCGCCCGGTGACCAGAATCGTCCGTCGCACTACTCTGCAATGGCTCCCGGGAACAAGAAGCAAACTGCTGCAAGCACTGCCAGCGCTGCTAGCGCTGCCAGCATCGCCAGCACTGGTGCGAACGGATCTTCGTCAAAGCTCCAGGTGCATGCGAAAGGGTGACAGCGCTTTCGGCTTGAGGTATCGTTGCTGAAGTCGCTTGCAACTTTGATGCAGAGTAAAGGGATTGCGAAGCTGTGGACGCGAAGGGCACATAGGACGCACGAGGTGGTAGTATGATTCTGCTTTTGTCCAGAGTTTCAGCGAACCGCGGCTAGAAAGCTGCTGCCGACGGCAGGGCAAGAAAGACAATGCCGCTGAGAAGGGGCCTGAGGATACGCTGAATCAGAACTTGAAGAGACTGGGGCAGTGCCTCGGTGGATCAGAGAGCGAGTGGTACCACAAGCATGCATCTGTACGTTGCCCTGTAGTCACACCTCAAGAAATTCAAGCCCATTGCCATGGTTCCTCTACCGATCAGGGGGCCTTTGTTGGCAGCTGTCAGCTGGCGGGGTAATCACGATCTCAATCAGAACCCATGCCCTAGACCTTAAAGCCCTAAAGCCTGGAGTGCCATGAGGAACCAGTACTTCGCTAAAGCGAGTGTTGCCGTGGTTCGATTTAAAGGAATCTCGCTCAACCCTTCTCTCCGGCCAAAAGTTGACAGCTGAGGTGTCGCATGCAATCTTTCCAGCTCCCCGGCCTCTGAGAGTCAGTGGGGGTTCCTTATTAAAATAATAGTATAATATCCCCCAAGACCCCTTTCTAATTATTGAGGCCCCTTTTTTATGGCCCGGCCTCTGAGAGTTTGGGGCTCTGGGGGCTCTGGGTTCCGAAGAAGGGGCTCAGGCCTTGTCTCCTGCGCCCTTGGCCAAGCCATAATCGACAGTTTAGGATTTTAGGGTTTAGGGTTCGTAGTGTAGTGGTAGTGATGCTGTTGCCACTGACGACAGTGACAAGGTGACATGTCTTTATGCGCGATTGCCCCATGCGGCCGGCTAGGCCCACACATATCCTTCAACAGGTCCGCCGAACCACACACTTAATCCCTCGAGCCCTACATGAACTTACTCATCCACCTCGCAAATCCCCAAAAGAGCCCTGAAACCGAAAGCCCTGAAGCCAGAAACCCTAACCCTAAACCCTAAACCCTAAACCCTAAACCCTAAACCCTAAACCCTAAACCCTAAACCCTAAACCCCTAGACACGGAAAGCCCTGGAGCCCCAGGTTGGAGAACCAAGTCATCAATGAGTGCTTGCAGCGTGTGTCCGACCTCCAGGCCCTCTGTTTTGATTTAGGGTTTAGGGTTTAGGGTTTAGGGTTTAGGGTTTAGGGTTTAGGGTTTAGGGTTTAGGGTTTAGGGTTTAGGGTTTAGGGAGACTATCATGAGATGGACCATTCATGATGTGTGTATACACACACACACATAGGAACATACATATGTACATACACAAAACCCAACAACAAGAACACTTGAGGGAGAGCACTGCAATCATCATCTAATGGAAGAATCACGCACAATCAAATATCTGATTGGAGGGAACAGGAAGATGGAACCCCAGCAAAGCCGATTGCAGTCAGATCTTGCCGCTACCTGACCCAAGCAGGACAGCTCTGCTTTCGCAGAGTTTGTCAAAGCATATGATCCTTTGGTTCTATCATATGAAGTGACGATATAGCAACCCTGAGACCACAATCAAGAAACGATGATGATCATCTCGAAGCCAAAAGCAAAGACTCGGTACAGCCAGAACAAAGCTAGGCAAAAGCCTTAAGCCCCAAAAGCCAGCCAAATCCCCAAGCCCTCAAGGCCCGAAAAGCCCGCCTTGAAAGCCCTCCCAAATGACCCTATGTCCTGAATCCTCAAAGCTCAATAAGCCATGTTGCAATTTCTTTGTTTCCGCCGCTTTGAGAGGAGCGGCTTTCGGCCGCCGAGTCCCGCGTTGCTGCTCCTCGGCTCCCAGCCCCGCTGCCGGGGCCGTTCTTTTCTTTTCTTTCTGAAGCCTTGGAGGCTGCAAAGACCCCTAAACCCCAAAGCCTAAACATCCCCCTTTAACTCAGGAGCTCCAGCAAGAGCTAGCCACTGCGAGGCCAAGGGCTGGTTGGCTTTGAAGCACATTTGGTGGGTTTTGTTTAAGGCTTATCAGGGTTCTGTAGGGGCGTTCTGTCGGGTTTTGGTTGAGGGCGTTGAGGGTTTGACTGGGTTCACCAGACCTGCCAGGCCCTGGCGACAGGCACCCGATGAACACCAGTCAAAGCTGAAGACTGAAGAGCGAGCAACGCCGCAGAAAGCTCGGCTTTAATGGCGGCAAAAAAAAGGGGCCAACAAAAAACGCCGACGGCGCCGGCTGGCCTTGGGGAGGCGGGGTCCCCTCTTTGACGGAAAGGAGGCTCCGGGGTTGCGCCTCGTCGCGGCGTCCCGCGAGTCTCGCGTTGCGGGACGCGCCCGCGCCTCGGCCTCGTGAGCGCATTTCGCAAACCCGGAGGCCGGAAGGAAAAGTGATGGAAAGGAGCAGAAGACAGACCACACAGAAAGACAGAGTACTCGAAAAAAAAAGATCACAGAAAACACCACAAAGGGACAAAAGACGCCAAGCAGACCCAGCGATGCCCTCGTCTTGCCTCAGTGGAAGAGCTGCGACCGCTACGAGGCTGAAAGTGGCAACAAAGGACCACAACAGATGAAACACGCTTCCGTTTCTCTGATTGACCACGCTGCTGCCCAAAACGCCCGCTTCGGATGCTGGAAGTCTCGCGCACATCGGCTGCATCCAGAGTCAACGCGTGCGCCAAACCTGAGCAGACCACGATGCATGTCTGTCAGGTGCTGCCGGCACTGTATACGAGCTGCCCAGTGTATAAGAGCTGCCCAGTGTCTGGAAGGCAGAATCCATGCGAAACCCTGCCAGCCTTGTAACTTCCATTTGGTATCGTGCTTTGCACGGCCCGAGAAGTGTGCGATTTGTTTTTTTGGCCTCATGCCTTTGCTCCCCCTCCAGTACCTTCGACTGGATTAGTCACTAGGAGATAAATTGATCGATGACTTTACTTTTCTCAATCTACCTCTTCCGGTCATCGGGTCGCTGCACTAGCAACACTCTGAGCAGTGGCAGGAGCAGCAAGAACAGAAAACCAGCAGCAGCAGCGGCAGCAGCGGCAGCAGCAGCAGTAGCACCAGTAGCAATAGAAGCAGCATTGAGTACAAGCAACTCACTCGATTATGAGGAGCAAGACTCAACACAACTAGTAGTTAGGGCGAATCGTGACAAAGAGAATCTTGTCTTGAAGAGGCTGCCATGCAAGGTAGCCCTTGAAGCCTGAACGCGCAACCCTCAACCCTGATCCCGAATCCTAAACTCCTGAACCCCTAAACTCCTGAACGCTTACATCCCTAAACCCCGAGACACGCCGCTCCATGTCTCGGCGCCAGGTCTGCAGCCGCGCCGCGGCAAGGGGACACCTCGGGTGCCTACGACGTGCCCCGGCCGCGGGGGATGTTCTCATTCCGTTGGCCCCTACACCCTAGAGGCGCTTGGTGCTTGAGGCTGGGCCTAGATCCGAATTTGACTTAAGACTTACGGGTCTGGCTTTGAGGATATCCTAAACTTCCTGAACTCTGAAGTGACTTCAGGGTTTAGGCTTTGGGGTTTAGTTCTTGGTGGTTAGGAGATCGGAAGGGGAAGGCCGGGAGGGACGGGGCCTCTGAAATTCCAACATGTCTGGAGTCGAACGCGACGTGAACGAGGGACTTCAGAGGGAATCTTGAAGTGAACGGGGGGGATGTTTTGCAGGGTCCTCCTTTTGCAGGCGACGGGCGATGTCCAGAGTCTACAGTCTTGAAGAACCCTAAACCCTAAACCCTAAACCCTAAACCCTAAACCCTAAACCCTAAACCCTAAACCCTAAACAAGCGAAACGCCAAAGTCGCCCAGGCCAAGAAGCCCCCGTGCTTTCGCACGGCACCGTGCTCAGCCTGGTGGCTTTCCCTAAACCCCCAGTTACCTACTATATAGGGTACTAGGGCCCCTAAGGCCCTATATAGTAGGTAACTGGGGGGTTAGGGTTTAGAGAGCTGTAAGACGAACGATTCGTCAGGTGCAGATGTGGGTTGATAATACTTGGTACCTATGCACTCCACACATTGCCCGCCTTCCGATTGGCACCCCATTATTTCCGAGACTCGAGATTCCTCTGATGGCACTGCCTGAGCAGAAGCAGCAACACAGCAGGAAAGTCCACAGATCCACAGCCTCGTCAGTTCTCGCTTCTGGTGAGACCCAGAACCGGAGAGTCTCGCACGCAGAGACGCAGAGCCCATACCCGGACTTCAGCTTCCAGTAGGGTTCAAGGTGTGGCTTTGTTCAAGTTCCGTCCTGCACATGCCCCAACTGTCTGGACTGTCATCTTGGCCTTTGTGTACTACAGCATAGTTACAAAGGTACCTCGAAGGCACACTGTTTTCGAACAACTGCCACGCGACGAGGCCAACCAAGACATCGTGGGCAGCGTCCAGGCGTCTCATCTTCTGAAATGTGTAACGATGTGTAACCGGTATCATATGCGCATGTGTGGATGGATGGCCGGATGGATGTTTAGCAGGCAATCCCGCATGTTGGGAAGAGTGCAAGCTTGGGGCGTGGCTTGAGACCCTACTGGCTCTCCGGGACTGTTGGCTATTGAGAATAAGGGTTCATTCTGCAGGGCTGGGGTGGGATGCGAGCTCCTCAAAACCAGTTCAAAGTTGTTTCTGCTCTGCCGGTTTAGACACATGTGCGCACCTGTTCCAACAGAGGACGGTTGCTGCACTTAACATGTTTAGAAGAATCGCTGGAGCCTGCTGGTGTCTGCATCGCACGAATCCCTGGAGCCTGCTGTTGTCTGGGCCTTCCGTCCTTCACTTCGGTCCTCTTCCATATTCGATCCTTCGGAAACAGCTCTCAACAGCGTCTAATCCGAGTCTAAACCTGTGGCGGGTCGTCTGTCTGGTGCTTAGTAGGGAATGGGGGAATGGGTTATAGGGACTACTATAAGGGACAATAAGGGACTATCATAGGGATCCATTCCCCCATTCCCTACTAAGCACCAGACAGTCTGGGACCTCAGGCCGGTTACCTCTCGATACAGAACGGTGCCGTCATCGTCGCGACACACATCCAGGCCATGCGGGGGCATCCAGGGGGCGCCTAGGCCACAGCAATATACGGGGTCAGCGATAATGATAATGTTCCTGGGGTTCCTGAAACTCTGCAACTCATAGCAGAACAGACACCCAAAGTCCGATTTTGAGGCCCCTATATGCCTGTCTGTGCTTGAGCAGCAGCCGAAATTCCACATGCCGGAAGCCTGTAGCCACTGACTCTGGGTTCTGGGCGTCAGGGGAGGAGCTCCTCTTTTGCAAGGATGCCAGCCGCAGAAGTGCTACATGCGGAAACCTTTCAAAGACACTGTGGGCTGTGGCATTTCGACGAGTCTTCTAGCTGTGTCGTTTTTCTTGTTTCTCCATTCCTCGACGAAGCTCATCTCGGAGTCTTGGTTCAGAACGCTTCCGCGCAACAGGGAACAGTGGGAGGCAGAGAGTTTAGGTCCCTTCCGGGCTGTTAGGGAGCTTCCTCTTGAGGAAGCAGAGATTTCCTGAGCACTGCTGGCATTTCATCGTATGTCTGACGAACTTTGGCTTGCAAGCTTTGCAACCCTTCCATGACCGAAGGGAGCCTTCCTCAGCAACAGCAACAGCAGCTCCTAACGACAGCCAGAGCTCTCTCCCGCCCCTTCCTTTCCCTTTCTTCCCCAGAGGAGGACTACTACTTCGGCTACCAGTTCACGCAGCCCGCGAACCAGGGCTGGTTCAAAGCGGCCCAGACTCGCGACTTCGACCGGCGCGAGTTCGCGGAAGCCGCCTCGTGAAAAGCCCTGGGTAGACACAATGGGGAGAGCCTTCCTATCTCCTTTTTTTTTTTCTTTTTTTTGGGAGGGGGGGGGNNGGGGGGGGGGGGGGGAGTTTCAGGGTTCAGGTTTTTCTTTTGGGGCTTTGGGCTTTTGTGGGCGTTCTTTCGGGGCCTGAATCAGGGTCTGTGGCTATGGGCTTTGAAGACTTTGTCAAGTCCTGCCGCACTGACCTCTTGTTTGCCTGTGAGCTTCTCAACTCCGGTGAGTATTCCGTATTTCTTTACCGTGGAGAAAGAGGGACAGGACTCCGGACATGAGCAGACATGAGCAGAGTATGACCGTAGCTCGCGGCTTAGAAGAGCCTTGCAGCCGTTCGGAGTCGCTTGGGGGAGTTTCGTTTTCGAAGCGTTGAGACGTTGAGACTTAAGGGCGCAACTTTAGCCGATGGCTGCCCGAAGCACGGATAGAGATCTCCAGCAGACGCGAAGGGGGCGGAAGGGGCGAAGGGGGAGGAGAGCCGTGACCCCGGCCATGGCCCATCGCTACATTGGCCAGCGATGAGCGTGCTGGAGACCGTGCGCCTCGGCCATTCAGAGGGGACCCGGGAACAAACCCGGCGCAGGGAGGGGAGTTTCAAAGAGGGAGGGCATACAGGCGCTTTTGGGGTCGGTTCGGGTCCGCCATGCGCTCTCGGCATGCGCAGCGCGTTCGGCGTCCGAATGCCAAGCCGAGGCAGGAGACGCTCTTTAAGCAGTTTCTGGGTGGTGCCAACCCCACACGCCGGCTTGGGGCCGCCAAGGAGCCATGTGCTTGTGCCGGGTGTGCGGGGGTAGCGGGGCTAGTTGGCATGTTGGTCCTGACTTGGGGTTTGGGGGCCTCTTTGAAGGAGGTCAATGGGCCGAGCCGCGTGGAAGATCTCCCATGGCGGCTTCGCCGCACTTGAGAGAGCAGGATCTTCACCCTCAAAACTTTCCAGACTCGAAACGAGCAAGGTGCCTCCCGAGGCCAGTGGAGCCCCTGACATCTCTTGACGCCTGTGCGTGCCCACAAATGCTTCCGAAACCGGCTTGGCCGAGGTGGCGCTACAACCGTGCCGCCCGGGCATAAATTTGAAGGGGTCTTGTTTGTTACGGACCCTGCTACCTGGGTTGTCTATTTGGGTCCTCTTCCTTTCCGACGCTCTCATCTCAGGGCGGGGTTTCTTCGACTGCCGTCAAGTTCAAGTCGAGGCCCTGGCACTCTGGTACTGCGAGTGGCTGGATACCTACTACGACAGCCGCTCGGAGAAGTCAGAGACGAAATCGCGATTCGCTACAAGAGTTAAGAGTTGAGGGAACCCTCAGCCCTCAGCCCCGAAGCATAGATCACCATCAATTCTGTACGGGTGATCACTTGGTAAGAAATTTCCTTAGAGTCGCAATACAACCAGACACCCTCGAACCTTGCCTTTTTCCACATCAAGGCGCCCGTACTGCTCTTATTTGCAAACCTGTCCATGGCGCAGAACTTGGGCTTTGGGAGCATGGGGCCTGGTAAGCCGGGTGCAGGGGTTGCATGGGACGCCGTTATTTGGTTTCATTGTTTATGAGTGACAGTTACTCCAGAGCCCGGGTTACCGGGTTTAGGTTGGAGGCGAAAAGCCATACACCCCAGCGCCTTAAACTCTTCCCACACCTGCAGGCCGTAAGCCTCGTAACATCCTTGTAGTCATGACAGCCGAACGCTGAACATCTCAATCGAATGGACAGTGATGAGAGTATGAATATTCGGAGTCCGTAGTGATGCGAAGTGCGGAGTGCGGCTTCCTGAAGGTGGGGATGGCGCCTTCTTCTGGCGCGACGAGCTCACGCAGGCCTTTGCAACTCCGTCACTGTTGAGGTGGTCGGTATGCCGCAGTGCTACCATCCGTGACCACGCGGTCAAGCGCACCAGCTGGGACAGTGTGAAGTGGAACGAATCCGCTGCAAGGTCGATGTTTCATCAGTGGATCGGGCTGTGTGCTGAAAAGAAGAGTCATGGCAGAGTCGCGCGGCCATGCTGAAGCAGAGGGCTCGAATCGCTCGAAGCCAGGGCAGGGCGAAGCCTCCAAAGAGCCGAAGAGACCTGCGAGGCCTTCGAGGATGCGGACATGGCGGAGGTGAAGGAGGCCGCAGAGAGGATGCGGCTGGAGCTGCTTTTCGACTGCAGAAGGCTTTCTTCCCTCCCGCAGTACGGGGCTCACGGCCCAGTCTTCATCGATTTCAAGAATTCGGAGGAGGAGTTTACGGATCTCCCGCCCTAACATAACAACGGAACCGCGGCGGACAAACGAAGAGTGATGTGGATTCCATGTGTACAAGACTTTATGGGAGACAGGCGGTAGCACGTTTCCGCTGAGGCCTCGTGAAGGCCCCGATGCCGGCGTGCTGGAGGATCAGGACAGCGGGACGATTCACTACACCTTGGTATCACTGGTGTTTCTAGAACCGGGGGCTTGCAGGTACCTGGGCAACGTCTTTGGTCTTGTCAGGCTTGTCATGTAGATGTGTTCGGTCGCGCTGATCCAGGAGCCTGCAGGTACTTTGGCAACGTCTGTGGTCTCGTCCAGCTTGTCATGTTGATGTGTGTTGGGTCGCGTTGATCCAGGGGCCTGCGGGAACTTTGGCAACGTCTTTAGTCGTGTCAGGCTTGTCATGTGGATGAGCGCTTTGATCCAGGGGCCTGCGGGTACTTTGACAACGTCTTTGGTCTTGTCCAGCTTGTCATGTCGATGTGTTCCGGTCGGGTTGATCCAGGGGCTTGCAACTACTTTGGCAACTCGTGCCGACGTTTCCTTGGAAATTAAGCCTGGCAGCCGGGATTGGGGTAAACTCGTTTTTGGGTCGTGCCGGCGTTTTTTGGAAAGAGCAAACCTGTCAGCCAAGATTAGGGTAAAGTCGTTGTTGGGTCGTGCCGGCGTTTTTTGGAAAGAGCAAACCTGTCAGCCAGGATTGGGGTAAAGTCGTAGTTGGGTCGTGCCGGCGTTTTCTGGAAAGAACACACCTGTCAGCCAGGATTGGGGTAAAGTCGTTGTTGTGTCGTGCCGGCGTTTTCTGGAAAG